CCTGAATACAGGAATCTTGTCTGAAAGTAAAGAAAAACAAGAACCTGGAAAGAATAGGGCAAGATCGTCGATTAGTGTATACACATGAGTCAAGGATCAAAATCTATGCAATAGGATATCGCAAGAAATTCAGAGACCTACTGACACCAATTAGAAATAGATTTTAATGCCATTTATGTGTTAAGTATTCAATCATTCAACTAGACGATGGAAATCGCTGTATAATCGCTGTGTTTCTACATCAAACCATATTCTATCTGAAACGGTCTCGTAGCTATGTAGGATTTGCTTTATTGATCGAACCAAACACTCTAATAACTGTCTATTGGAAAAACTTGGCTGGGTGTGTGTGCGTGTGCGTGTGCGTGTTTGACTTTTGACTACACATCCACACCCACACCCACACCACCAACCTAAACTATATATTTATTTATATCAGATCTATTACGAACTAATATAATATACGTAAGAGAATGTCTCAGTACATTTAAAAAATATAAATTAACTCATTGATTATATAAAAAGAACAATAAATTAAGTTGAATAAAAGCGTTCATTTATTTTTATTCTTAATATGAGTCCTATTCTTGGCTTCAGACAGTACCGATTCGAGAAAATAGCGAGATTTTAACATTAAATAATAATCTTTCGTCCATGTAATTTATTTTTTCTTTTTCTGATATTGAACAAGCCGTGATATCAGATGAGCAATAATCTAGAATCGTGATTGATATCACTTTGTGATAATCTAATGTTACTCTATTCCAATTGAAAGCACAAGAAACTAACTTCAAAACTATAGCGACAACATTTTGTTGAACAATAATTTTAAAAATGAGTAATCCAAAGCTCGACAATAACAAATTGTCAAAGTTCTATAGTATGTTATATTTTCACCTGAATATGGTTTCTTTGTCGTTAGTATTCAACAACACAAGCACATCGAACGTCAATAACCATTATAATATATTTTCGTTTCATACCTAATCAATAGATTATTTTACAGAAAACAAATTGACTGTTTATATATTTTTATATGTAAACGAATGTGATAATTATGCTACAAGAAGATATATGTACTTTTATTTTCTTGAGATTTCATGTTTCAAAAAAACTATATAATTATATTTGAATTTTTATTACATTCACGACCTATACAGAAATTTACCAATTTATTTTATATTCTATAGCGTGACAATGTTTAATTCATGCTATATATATATATCTTTTGTTTTTATAAAAAAATAGAATAGATGTGTGTTTAACAGAAAAAAAAACATCGTAAATAAAAACAAAGACTACAATAATACGGATTCATATGTTATACGAGACAAACCAAGCGCACATAAATCACCGCAATATTTTGAATATAATCTATTCGGAGGTATAGATTTATGTATTTTCTTTTTGTTGCTTTAAGTTGACATTTGAAATTGATTAGCCCACCATGATTCAACATCTTTTCGCCCATGCTTAAAATTACTTGTTTGCCATGAACGCCATCGATAAGATTCATCATTACTTAGAGTCAAACTAACACTTTGTTGTAATTGTTGCGGCATTGATCGTCGTGCTCCTTTAGATTCAATAGGTGTATTACGTATACCTGCTTGTGTTCGATAGATTGAATTCTAAAAAGAAAACGATATTGAATAAAACAGAAAATCAATCGATATTCTACATTGAAATCATTTGAAGGTATTGGTAATGTAGTTGTCCTATCAAGTTTATCTTTGACAACATCTTTTTGTATTTGTTGTTGTTGATCATCACGATTTTTTATTCGTCGTTCTTCTTCACTGCCTACATTATCTGTTGTTCTTTTTAATGATTCATTTATTGCTATTGCTTGTGCTTCACGAAAAAATGCTAATTCATTACTACATTGTAAATTTTTACTAACATTTGTTTGATCTTTTGCTTTAATACGTTTTAAACATTTATTAAGCCAACTACGTATTGTTAATTTTGCTACTTCTTCTTCAATTAAATATTCAAGTTCTTCACGAACAACTAATTCTTCGAATTGTAACGATTTACGAATATCAACCGAACGATACGCTAATATACTAATAAAAGAAAAACAAACAGTTATTAGCACAATTCCTATGAGATTAAAATGTGAAACACGATGTAGTTACTGTTGCTAATCCTCGAGTAATTGTTTTATTCTATCTATTATAGGATACATTTCTTTATTATCCTTTTACTTAATCTTCCAGAAATGCAAATAAGGAGATATAGTGTCCAAAAGAACGGTACGAAAAATCTAAGCGGAAATAAGTAGAATCTTCAATATTTTTCCTTTGTCTTCGTCAACTAAGATCAGATGCCTATTAAACATTTTCAACATTGAAGAAGGTTACAATGGAACATATTCTTTTTTGTAAAGCATATCGATTTCGCCATTAAACGTTTTTTTCGGTAAGCCAGATTAGAATATCTTCTTTCGAACGTCGCATGTTTTTTCAAATTGGCCTATTTTTTTATGCAAGTTGCAAATTTTTTTCTAATCTGCATCACTGTTACACGTTGCAAAATGTGAATTCGATAGCAGAGACACTAATTGTATTCTATCTAAGTGGCATTCAAAGACCTTTTTTCTGTCATTTTTAACTTCTAGATGAGGATCTTATAACAAATGTTGAGCCGATCCTAGAGTCAAAACATTTCGCTGCCTATGGACTCAATTGAAACACACAATTTCACTGTTGTCAAATATTTGAAAAATGACATTCTATAGAATTTTCTATGAAATCGTTTTATTTTTGCTACTGATTCTTATTGTTATTCCAATGTTATCTTTAATAGACATTGTCTTTTATGTGTTTGGATAAAAAAAGTTCGAATCGCACTAAGGTGATATGAACATAGAGTTCATCGAATAGAACCTTCTCTGGAAATTCGTCGTGATAGGAAAAATGTAACTCTGACATTGTTGTACTTGATCGTTAAAATCAGACGAAATCTCACTTTGTTGAATTATTTACTCAGCTCTGACAGGATTCAATATGCTATTAAATAAACTTTGCAGTCAGATGCAACATTTGATGTTCATACATTTTTGCTATCAACATGTACTTCAGCGATGCTTTCTTGTGTTGTTACTGTAAGGCGTTATCGAGAGAATTCCTTAATACTATGTTTATTTGACATTTCTTTGTCCAGTTTTATGCGCAAATTTTGTTTCACAATCTTCAATAACTCAAAGTTATTCACTAACAAAACAATTTTTATTCTAATCTTCGTAGGGGTACACTCATTTTATATAAAATATGCTGAATAAAACTTTGGTGAGTAT